TAGCAAGCTTTGACTTGTTTTTCATGAATTTCTTGCATCACTCTCATTTCTCTGCTAAATTTTTCTTCTACTTCTCTTACTTGACTTTCAAAATCCTTTTGAGCTCTTCCAGGCCTGGGACAATTCATATTTTTCTTGGAGGCTTTGGATGTAGGAGTTTTGACTTTGTTGTCTTCTTCTGGTTGTATGTTTTGATCTTCATCACCAAAGTAAGTAAGATTCTATAGTCTGAATTTTTTAAAGCTGTTTGCTCATGTTCCCAGCCAATTACTTGACTTTTTTTTTTTTGGCAATTGGGGTTAAGTGACTTGCCCAGGGTCACACAGCTAGTAAGTGTCAAGTGTTTGGTCTGAGGCCGGATTTGAACTCAGGTCCTCCTGACTTCAGGTCTGGTGCTCTATCTACTGAGCCACCTAGCTGCCCCAAGTACTTGACTTTTTAACTCTTTGTTAAGGTAGGGCTCTGCTTCCAGTGTGGAAGGTGTACTGCCCCAAGTTTCAGGGGTTTTGTTCAGCTGTTTTCAGAGATACTTCTAGAAACCTGTAAATTTTCAGTGCTATGATCAAAGGTGGTATGAAGTGTTTACTCCTTTCCTGGCCTGTGCTCTGGTCTATGAGTGACCACAAGCACTCTTTTCTTCCTTGAAACTGTGAGGAAGATTCCCTTTTCACTGCTTCCACAAGCTCCCCCACACCAGTGCTCCTCCTCACCGCAGGACCACCACCCAGGCCTGGGACCCAGATCCATGCCCGGGCAAAGCAAGAGAATCCTGCCTCAGCACCAGCAATGAAATCCCTGCAATCCCCCTCTGATCAGCTGCTCAATCTCCCCACTATCTGTGAGCCTAGAGCTCCAGAAGCAGTGGCTGCCTCTGCCACCATGGGGTTGGGGCCCGGCCACATTCCTCTCTCATCCAGGTCAAACAGACCTTTCCTACTGACCTTCTAATTCTTTGGAATCTGTGGGTTGAGCAGTCTGGAAACCACCACAGCTGCTAGTGATTCAGTCGCCTGATGCCTACTCCAGGTTCTCTCAGGCCCGGTCTTTGTCTCTGATGTCCATGCTGAACCATGCTCCTCTCTCAGCCCTGTGCAACAGACCTTTCCCATCAACCATCCAAGTTGCCTTGGGCTGGAAATTTGTTTCACTCTGTCTTTTTGTGGGTTCTGCTGCTCTAGAATTTGTTTAGAGTCATTTTTTAAAATTAATTTATTTTGAATTACCAACAATCACTTCCATAAGCTTTTGAGTTTTAAATTTTTCATCCCCTGCCTCCCCACCTCCCTCCCCAAGACAGTGCTCAATCTGATACAGGCTATACATATACATTCCTATTAAACATATTTTCACATTAGTCATGTTGTAAGTAAGAATTAGAACCAATAGGAGGAACCACCAGAAAGAGGAAACAAAACACAACAGAAGAAAAAAAATAGCAAATAGTATGCTTCGATCTGCATTCAAACTCCATAGTTTTTCCTTCTTTGTGGATAGCATTTTCCATCACGAGGCCTTTGGAGATGTCTTAGATCCTTGTAATTCTGAGAAGGGTTAAGTTTATCAATATTAGTCATTACACAACATGGCTGTTACTGTGTATAATGTTCTCCTGGTTCTGCTCACTTCATTCAGCATCAGACCATACAAGTCTTTCCAGGTTCTTCTGAAGTCAGCCTGCTCATCATTTCTTATAGCACAATAGTATTCCATTACATTCATATACCACAACTTGTTCAGCCATTCTCCAGTTGATGGGCATCCTCTCAATTTCCTAGAGTCATTTTTTATAAGTATTTGGAGGGGTTTGGGGGAGAGCTCAAGCAAGTCACTGCTTTTACTCTGCCATCTTGGCTCTACCCTGGACACTGAGTTTCTAAAGGGATACTCGTTTCTTTTCCCCCGTTAGAATGACAGATACAACGTCCTCCAGCCACTTCCAGTTACTCAAAAAATTTATCTTTCTAGGTTTCTCTGGAAGTTTGTGTTTGCATTTCAAAGTTCCTCCTCAGTTCCTCCTCATCAGAAATGCTTGAAATTCTTCTGTTCCATTACAGGTTCATATTTTTTTTGGCTGTAGGATGATAATCAATTTTTCAAAGTAAGCTAAACTTGGTTGTAAGCCTAGATCTTTGGCTCATAGTAATGTTACCTAAGATCTTTCATTTTTTTAAAACCTCTGCAATTATTAGTTTATTAGTATCATCCAGGAATTATACATAAACAAATGCAAAACTGAAATTAGAATCTGAAAGTCAAAATTGTATAACAAAACAGTACTCCATCACAAAAGCATGTAAAATTACAAGAATGCTATTTTAAAACACTGGCACTTAAGAGAACCATAATTTCAAAACCACAACATTGCCAAATTGTCCCCCCAAATGGTAAGCAGGTAAACATATAAATGGTCAGTTTTAATGAATACATTGTTAGCTTTGGTTTTGGAAGGGAAAAAAGTTTTGATCAAATCAGACACTTGGTCTACATTTTACCTTAATGCCAAATTTTAAGTGTATTTCCCATCAAGGCCTATTTTATTTATATAGGGTCAAATATTACAATTTTAATATAAACCATAATGTGAAGATCATGTCTCAGTTTATTAACTGAGACCTTTATAATTTTATCTTCAACTAACAAATCAAATCTAGATGTACATAGTCATAAATGGTACCATATAGAATTTTAAGTTTCCCAAGGGGCCATTTACTGCCAGCTCTTCATACTATAAGCCTACTTAGCCTTCAGTAAGTCTGCTGCCAAAGATTAATGATGGCAGTCTTATATTTTCAACTCACGCTTTTGGGGTACATTCTCAGCTCTTCTGAAGGATGGGAATCAAAACATAACTTCAGTTACACAGTAATGAAATTATGAATGTATATTCCCCACATAAAGATTAGAATATACCCTTCTACTGATTCTTCAAGGACAGAGTTTTAGTACATTTCACTCAAATAGTTCCATGCTGCAAATTTCTATATTCTCCACTTGGTAAATGTAATCTGATAGAATACTGTACTATATGAAATTTGAGTTTATTAACTGGTAACTTTTGATTTCCAGTTATGGAAGAAAATTGTTTCTATACAACTTTTATTACCCCATTACAATTATGCAGGGTGTGTAGATCAAAGCTTTTTATCGGCTAACTATATGAAAAAGTGAAAACTGTAATAATTCATGTGATCCCAAATGGGCATACAAAAGCAAACACGAGCTTCCCCTGAAAAAGAAAAGTTATGATTTAAGGGCACCTATGAAAAGGACAACAATACTAATAAAAAAAAATTGTATTTACTTAGAAGCATTCAGAATGTCAACAAAACAGCTGCAACTTTTTTTTTTTGCAATTACAGAGTGGTATTCAGTTAACAGAACAGCAATTATTTCATATGCTGCATCAAAGACAGCTGAAGATGAAAATGAACTACATCCCCATATATACTAATTTGTGCTGTGCACCAACAAGAACCTGCTTTAAATTTCCATGCCAATTTACAACCCCTATACTGTACCAGGCAAGGTTAATGGCTATTGAAAATACCACTAAAGGAGAGGGCTATCTAAAGACACATTCGGTAGTGTGTTAACTATACAAAAAAACACACTGTACAGTTTAAAAACAAATCTTACACAGCCTTACATTTCAATTTTTTTTTCTTTAAAAGGAGTGAGTTGTGTACAGGGGGGTTAAATGCTTTATAGACAAGAAAAAAATTGCTCTAGAACCAACTTATTCATCGTCATCATCATTTTCCTCCTTGTATTCTTCATCTTCCTCCTCCTTCTTTTTCTTGCTCTTCTCAGCCTTGACAACTCCTCCCTTTTTACCAACATCAGGTTTTCCTTTAGCCTGGTATTTGGCAATATCCTTTTCATATTTTTCCTTCAGCTTAGCTGCCTTCTTTTCATGAGGTTGTCATCTGAAGCAGTATTATTCCGCATATCTCCCAATTTTTTTTGCCACATCACCAGGATGCTCCCCTTTGATTTTTGGACAATACTCAGAACAGAATAAGAAGAATGCCAAAGGAGGCCTCTTCGGTACATTGGGATCCTTAAACTTCTTTTTTGTTTCTCCTTTAGGTGGCATGTAGGTTTTCATTTCTCTGTCATAAGGAACCTTTTTGGCTTTTGCCATGTCCTCAAATTTCCCTTTCTCTTTAGCAGACATTGTCTTCCACCTTTCTGAGCATTTTTTAGAAAATTCTGAGAAGTTCACAGAAGCATCTGGGTGCTTCTTCTTGTGTTCCTCCCCACAAGTTTGCACGAAGAAGGCATATGAAGACATTTTCCCTCTCGGCTTCTTAGGATCACCTTTGCCCATTTTGGAGTACTTTCCCTCAGTGTGGCACAGAGTAGCCCAGTGCCCATCCGGCTTTTACTTGCCCCGGTGCTGTCTCCATGGAGCTCAATGTACTGTAATGGTTGTAAGAGCTCAAGCCAGACACAGCCTCCTCACTCTCTCCATTTTGTAACATTACTCTCAAGATCTCCCATTTTTACTAGAGTGCTGGATCTTTAGGTCCCTCTTTTGTGGCTCAGGACAGGGTCCTAGGGATCTTGGAGCCCTGAGGGTTAGGGTTAGGTCACACTGGTCTCTCACACAGTCACATTGCTTTTCCCTGGAATTTCCAAGATCCTTCTCACTGGGAGTTTACAACTGCCTTTAGGCTTTCTCAGGGGAGCCCTCTCCTCTTGCTGCACCCAGACAAAGAGCCCAGCAGGTTAAATGTGTCTCTGGTCCCCCTCTTGGATACAGTGATAGGCCTGTAATCAGGAAGACCTGAGTCCAAATGTGATCTCAGACACTTACTAGCTATTTGACCCTGAGCAAGTCACTTCACCTGTGGTTGCCTCAGTTTCCCCAACTGTAAAATAGAAATAATAATAGCACCTACCTCCCAGTGTTGCTGTGAGGATCAATTGAGATACTATGCCTGTCACATAGTAGGTGCTACAAAAATATTAGATCTTTTTCTGATTCTTCTTCTCTTCCAACTCCTCCTCCTCCTCCTTCTCTTCCTCTTTTTTTCAACTTCCTCCTTCTCTATCTACTCCAGTGCTGTCTTTGCTGAAGGCTTCTTTTCTTATTTCCTGTGACCTACTGGGGTGAAAGAAGTCATTTACTGTCATTTTTCATTGGATTTCCTGAGCATTATTCAGTCTGGTGCAAATTTCAGGTTTTTGCTAGAGTAGGGATGGCAGCCTGCCTCTATTCAGGCAGCTACCTTGGCTGGAAGCCCAGGACTCTTTCCATTACACCCTGCTGCTCCCCACTACCCCAGTGCCTATCAGGCAACCCCAGTTTTCCCTTAAGGCAAAAGAAATCATCAAGCTCTAGAAAGTCGGAAGGAAGATAGGAAGACAGTCCTAAGACCTATGCTATGCATATTTACTGCTTCACTCTAAGCCCACCTGCCAAACGATTGAGAAGACATGCATCTCTTAGAGAGACCATAGCAGGGGTGAGCTGGCAATTGTTTAACATCTGGCACTCTGGAAAAAAAAAAGCAAAAAACTTCAGGACACACTTCCACGTTTAATCTGCATTATTAACATTTTTTTTTAAGTCTAGACAATCAGCAAAACAATAAAACAAGCCCTCCTTTGTAAGGCTTGCTGATTTCAGAGGTGTAAGCGCTCACACTGAAAATTTAACAATAAGCTCCAGCATATCCCTGGACTTCCTAGATAATTATGCCAAAAAGCACTGGACTGGGCACAAAAATAGGCTCTACCACTCATTTTCTGTGTGATCTTGAGTGAATCATTTCTGCTGACTGGACCTCAGTTTCTTCATCTGCAAAATGAGGAGATTTGACTAGATGGTTTCTGAGGTGCCTTCCAGTTCTAAGGTCTGTAATCCAGCAAGGAGTTCTGTAGGATTCTCAACCCTATTCAAAGATCTGCATAGGAGGACCCATTTGCAAACTGGCTCTGATCTGAACAAGGATGTAAACATTGATATGTCTATCCTTCAGTGTTTGAAGAGGATGGAAAGTCCAATAGCAGGATTTCTTCCAAATTGTCCTTGATCTGAGCTTCCTTCAAAACTCAGTTCACATCCCACCTTCTGCAGGAGGTCTTTCCTGGTACTCTTCCCAAACCCTCCCCACTTTCCTCCTCCCAATCCCCCCCCCCACTGCCTTCCCTCTGACATCACCTTGAATTTACATTGTATATATCTTTTATATATGTACAGAGTTTTCATACTGTCTTCCTGCCCTTCCCTTCCCTCCCATTAGCCTTGAGCTCCAGGAAGGCTGAGACCATGTTTTTGCCTTTCTTAGCACACTTACATAGGCGCTTAAATGCTTGTTCTCCGTGATGGTTAAAACAAATCCTTTGGTTTCAGCCACTATTTACAGAGTCTTTTGTTTGTCATTATCATGGAGTCAGGTGATTCCTTTGCCTGGAGAAAAGCTGCCACAGGTCTTTCAGAAACCCAGATTTTCCTGCCTGGAGGTGAGAAGGCCCATATCTTGTCCAGCTCTGGCAAAATCTGGAAGGGCCCCTCCCAGCACAGCAGTGCATCAGGATAGGGCAGGCCTGCAGAATGGCTACACCCTTGTTCCATACTGCCTTATTTCTGGTGAGGCTGACAACTGTTCCAGTCTCCCAGGCTGCCACCCTCAAGGTCATCCTGACTTCTCACTTGCCTCACCACACATAAGTAATCCATTCCTATATTGATTCTACCTTCCTAGCATCTCTCACATATGTTCCCTTCTCTATTCACACCACTATCACTCTTGTTCTAGTCTTAATCACCCCTAAATAATGGAGACTTGCAATTTCAGATACAATCTTCTCCTGTTCTATTAAATATAGAAAACCACCTATTTTATTTAGTGTCTTTAAAATTCAGAATATAACAAAAGAAACACAAAAAAGACATAGCTCAAGCACCATCTTTCACAAGATTCCCCCTAATTGCTAGTTTCCTCCTAGACCATCTGGTATGTACCTACCTGTATTTATTCTATATATGTATATTCCATATATACTTATATAGGTACATGCTGTCAACCCTGTTATGATAGAAGCTCTTTGAGAGCAGAGATTGTTTCATTCTTTGTCTTTGTATGCCCAGCACCCAGCACAGTGGCTGGCACATAGGAGGAGATTAATAAATGATTATTGATTGATTGATGGTTAATAGATTCATTCTATTTCAGGGAATAGCAATCCACATTTACCATTTCACCCGGGAGGGGCATTTAGTGGAAAGTTAAATGACTCAAAAAGCTTCACAGAAGTCTCTTAGATATTTCAGGTATCGTCTCTATACAGATGGTTAGACCCAACCAGCAATCTACAGACCTATGGATAATTTAACCAAGAACCTGACTTCAAGCAACTGGGCCTGGGGGAAGGAGGATTAAGAGTTAAGAGAGTTGAGCACTATCTCTGGGTTTGTTCCTGACTGTCTGTGTGACCATCAGGTAGTCACTTCGCCTCTCTGGTCCTCAGTTTCTCTGTCTGTAAGATGGGGATAATAATACCTCTCCTACTTGACTCAAAAGATTATTATTAAAATGGGAATTGTGAGCAAGTATTCTGGAAAATGATGCTGCATATAAAGCATAAGGGGTGCCTAGCCTTCCACTTCCTGAAGTATTTGCAAATGATGACTTGTTCCTTTGAATGGTACCATACTGTTACAGGATTTGAAACTGGAAGCCAAGATCATCTAATTCAAAGTCCTCATTTTACAGATGAGGAAACCAAGTCCTGGAAAGAAGTGGCTTGCCCAAGGTCATTGAACTAGATGAATTCTTAAACTCCTTTGTCTCTATAGTCTATGATCGCCTATTTTGGAGATAATTGTGTAGTAACAGTTCTATGGTACCAAGGCCTTTTCAAATCACCAACATCATATAAAACATATTAAATAATTTTACATTGCTTTTGTTGCAGCACTATGGGCTGATTTTAAGTCTGAAGAAGACTTAACCAGCCTATCCAATTAATTTTTCTCTCTGTTATGGCCAGGAAAGAAATTAGTGGAAGGATCAGGATTTGAACTTGGCAAAATCAACAAGTATTTTTTGGTGCCCACTTTGCATAGAGCACTGTGTGCTAACGCCCTAGAGACCAAACCAAAACAGTCCTTGCCCTCAACGGGTTTATATTTTCCTTGGGGTGTGTGTGTGTGGGGGGAGTGGGGAAGGGGGGAAGTTGGTGGGGAAGTTACAACAATTTGGAGAGTGGGGTAGAGAGGGAGGCCTGGGCCTGCTTCATGATGTGGAGCCTATAGGTGATTATACAAGGCCTAGAAGAGGTGGGATTGCTCTCTGGGCCAGGTAGGTAGGATTGTGAAGAGTTTAAAATTCCAGGGGAGGAGTTTGTATTTTATCAGTACTGGGGTGAGGACTTGATGTGAAAGGCTAGGAGGTGGAGATAGTTTGGGACAGAAAGAACTTTCTGTCATTCCAGCCCAGGAGAGAAAAGAAGGAAAGAAGCAGCGTTTGACCTCCAACTCCACAAAGAGCCCATACTGGCAGCTTAATATAAGCCATAGAGGCCTCCTCGTCATTTATTTGGAATTCTTTCCATTGTACTAAGTGCCCCTACCCTTTTTTATCCCTCCAAATCCAGCAAAGGCAAGGGATTCAGTATAGAAGAAAGTGTCAGTTTCCTTTGGCCCTGTATCATTGCCCAGTAAGGACTTTGGGGCTGAGAGGCAAGGCAATGCACTAGAATCTCAGATCCAAAGATTGTTAGGAATGGAAGGCTCCCCTCCCCATCCTCACCCCCTATATGTTAACTAAAGCCCAGAGAGGTACTTTAGGGTCCTAGATCTACAGCTGGAAGGGGCCTTTAAGGTCTCGGAGTTTAACCTCCTCATTTTACAGATGAGGAAACTGAGGCCCAGAGAATTTAAGTAACTTGAGAGATAGTAAGCATCTGAAGTGGGATTTGAACTCATGTTCTTCAGACCCTAAGTCTAGCACTTTATTCACCACACCACTAATAAGCAACAAGAGGAAGAGCCCCAGCCAACAGCTAGAGGAAGTCCCTGGAGTGAAAGGCTTAATGCTAGGATTCTGAGCTTCTCAGAAGAAAGGGACTCATTACTCCAGTGCTGCAGTCTCAGATCCCTGGCTCTCTGGTATCTGAAAATGGGGAAATAAGTATTGTATAGTGGAAAGTAACAAGCTGGGTCTGAGTTTGGCACCGTATCTGAACTTTGGAACTCACTTAGCTTAGCACTCTGCATATAGTAGGTACCTAATACATGTTTAAATGCATTTTAAGCATGAGGAAATGGAAACTCAGAGAGCCAAGTGACTGGTGTTTTGACAAGAGCCTTCCTTCTGGCTTCAGAAAAGCTGGATTGAAGAATCTGGGTCCCTGACACCAAAGCTAACTTTCTTACCTTTTCCTTGAGTCTTTTCAGTCTGGCTCATTGTGCCTGACTCTTCATGATCCCATTTAGGGTTTTCTGGGCAAAGATACTTGAGTGGTTTGTCATTTTCTTCTCCAGTTCATTTTGCAGATGAGGAAACTGAGGCAAACAGGGCTAAGTGACTTCCCAGGTCACACAACTACTAAGTGTCTGAGGCCAGATTGGAACTCTGGTCTTCCCGACTCTGGGCCTGGTGCTCTATCCACGGAGCCACCTCTCTAGTGAGTTAAAAAAAAAATCATCCTATAAGCATGCTGCTGGTCTGGCCCAAAGGATACCTGGGATTATTTGTTTCCCTTCCCCTCTCCCTTCTCGTCTCCCTCTCTCCTACCCTCTCTTTCCCTCCCTCCTATCTCCTCCCCCTCTCTGTTAATTAGAAAATCACTGGACATGCTGCCTAGGGAGTAGAAATCAGGGACAAATTTCAGCTCTGATGAAAATTTTTCGTTAGGTCTGAGATTTTTTTTTTTTGCTATAGGGAGATGCTGCCTTACACACAGTAGTAGTAGTGGTGCAGTGGATAGAGAACTGGCCTTGAAGCCAGAAAGGCCTAGGTTCAAGTCCTTCTTCTGGCTCTATGATCTTGGGCAAGACTTCTTGGGAAAAACCTCTTGGTGTTCTAGGCCAGTGGTGGCAACTCAAATAGAAAAGGGGCCACAAAACTCTACAGAAGGATCTCTGCAGACACTTTGAAGACCACATATTAACAATTGTCTGTGTCTTATTGTTTTTATTTGTTAAATATTTCCTAATGACATTTTTATCTGGTTTGGTTGTTGGGTCACTGGGTTTGGCACCAAGATCTTCTCTAAGCTAGTCTCTAAGTTGCAGAGAAGGCGCTGACCTGCATTGGGAAGGGAGTGTCCTCATTTGGGAGTTGTTTATACCACAGATATCATAGGTCCACTGCCCATCCTTTTCTTTTACACATGAAGAAGTGTGAAGTGGGAAGAGACATGAACTTGGAGTCTGAGGACCTTCAGTTTCCCCTATTAGATTGGGAGCTCCTTGAGGGCAGAGATTGTTTTTGCCTTTCTTTGTATCCCTAGTGCTTAGCACAGTGCCTGGCACACAGCAAGCACTTAATAAATGCTTAGTGACTTGACTAAGGTTGATTTCAGGTTCTGTCATTGACTACCTGTGTGACCTTGGGCTATTTCTCATGTGTGCAATGCATTCCCTCTTTACCTTTGCCTTTCATAATTATTTCAGAAACCTTTGCCAGCTCAGGTTCCCAGGTTCTTATTCCCCTGGGAGGCTTTCCCAGATCTCCCCACTCTGGCATCTCTACCTCCTCAAATTTCCAAAAACAGTAACTGATCCCTCCCTTGTCACTGTTTTCCCCTAATTTATATTTGCTCATTTTCGCCCATGGTGTAACCCTCCTTTCCCAGCAGAATGTATTCTCCTTGAAGGCAGTGAGTGCTAGCTTTTTTGTCCTTGCATCTCCAGCGCTTAATCAATGTCTGTTGAATTGAACGCTGTTGCTTTTCTGTGTCTAGGATCATAGGACCATAGATTTAGATCTGGAAGAATCTTATGAAGTCATCTCATCCAACCTCATTTTTTTTCCTTCATCTGAGCTTGTCAGGCTCTTCTGGAAGAGAGCAACCATCTCATACTCGCTACATAAAGCACTTAGTTGATAACAGTTTCAGGTTTTCCATAATCTCATTTGATCCTTGCAACAACCTATGAGGTTTGTGCTATCATTATCTCCATTTTACAGCTAAGGCAACTGTAGCATAGATAAGTTTTTTACTTGTCCAGGGTTTATAGAGCTGAGAATCTAAGGATGGACCGAAACCCAGGTCTTCCATTCCACCTCCCCATAGTGCACAAGGAGAACGATACTGATTTTCAAATAAAAACAATAATCCGATTTAGAGATGCAGTGTGGTCTAAGTGGTTAAGTTGTACGATCAAAAGAGCTGGGTTCAAATCTAGCCTCTTGCCTAAGCTGGGTAGCTAGCTGGGAGACCACGGGCAAATCACTTCAACTTTCTTCGACTTCGGCATGACCCGAAGTGCCCCATATTTATTTAGTCTTTTATTAGTGAATACACCTCTCCACTCCCCCCACCCCATGCAAAGTGTGAGCTCTTTGGGGGGCAGGGACGGTTTCATTTTGGGTCAGCACACAGTGAAAGCCTAATAAATGTTGACGGGCTGGCTGCATGTGGAAGGAGCGATAGAGTGGCAGAGTGTGGAGGCAATGAAAGATAAGAATGGGGAGGGGGGGCCGGGAGCCGGCTGGCCGTTAGAGGCGGGAAAAGTCGCCAAGCGGAGCCTGGGGGTGTCCGGAGGGTAACACAGCGGGACAGGCTTCCGGAAAGAGGCTGGGGGGGGCGGGGGCAGCCGAGAGCGCGCTTCCGCTCCGCTTCCGAGTAGCCGGCCCGCGGGCCAGCGAACAACGGTCCAAGGTAACGGGCGAGGACGCGAGAGAGGTAACTTAAGGTAGTTAAGGTAGCCGAGGGGCGGGGCCGCGGCTCACCCGTCACTATCCCACAATTCTTCGCGTAGTCGCCGTTGTCCCCGCTCAAGATGGCGCACCTGGTGTCGTGTACCCCGGCCGTTGCCGCCGCCTTTCAAAGGCAGCGGCTCTCGGCCGCCCTGCTGCGGCCCCTGGGCTCCGTCCTCAGCCCCGGCTTCGGCGTGACCCGACCGCGGAGGGCTGGCGGCTCGGGGAGCCGCCGAGCCTATCAGGTGAGGAGCCCTGGCCACATGGCTGGCTGAGGAGACTACTGGGCAGGGGGGTCCGGCAGCCAAGCCCGGGACTGGGGGGGAAGGGGCTTGGACGGCGGCGACCCCTCTGGAGGCCTCGGGCCAGAGCGCCGCTGGGGGGCGGGTGACCGAGCCGCTTCATCGGGAAGAGCCCGGAAAGCTCTGGGGTCAGTGAGCGGCGCCTGGGGAGCTGAGGGAGCGCACGGCCGGAAGGAGGGGAGGTGCCAGCCGTGGGCTCCCCGAGGTCGAACTGGGCGGGGCCAGCCCGGGCCATGGGTGGGCTCGGGAGCGCTCCCAGCCCACCCGAAACCCCAACTTTTAGTAAGTTACTTGCCTCGGGCGGCCCAGGTATGAGGAGTTGAGGTGGATTTTGAATCCAGATCCTCTTCTTCCCGATCCAGCGCCCTTTCCATTACATCACAGCTTCCGTTTTCCTGATTTAAGAAAGGGGATAAACACATTCCTGCATGTTCGCCCCTAGGTGTTAACCGACAGACTGGCGAACTGCCTGCTGCTTCCGAAGAGTAAGTAACGGGATGCAGAAGTTGTGTACCCCCAAGCAGCGACTCAGGGTGGAAGTCGATTTTTAAATCGAGACGTAATAAAAACGACCTTTAGACAAATGACGGATTGGGTTGAAACTCTCGTTGGCTGTGTTCCGTGACTGCGAGGCTCAAATCCTGTAGCTCTTGTGTCTGCCTTCACACACTGGGGGATTCCCCCCCCCCCATTCCTATCAATCTGGCTATGGCTTGTCCTTTCTGCCTAAGAAGTTCCGAGGCCTTGTGTGTATTGAAACTATAGAGCCATTTATTCTGTCTGAGGGTTATTAATATGAATGAAATTGTGGCTAGGGAATGTACTTGCACCCTAGCCTTGTCATTTTCTCTAAATATAGAGTGAATTGTTACTAATTTAAGTGTTTTACAAGAGCATATTCTAGTTTCCTTCTATTGTTAGAAATGTTAAATTGTAACAAAATATATCCTAGAAGTAGATACCTAAAAACATATTTAGATTTCCTCTGTCCGTAAAAGTTTCCCTGCGCTCTGCTCCTATCTTCTTAAACTATCCTCTCTCCTCTCCTTTTCAATGTTAGACTCTTAGCTTTCTACTTTTTTCCCTAGCTACTTTATTCAGTTCTTTGGAACCTGGTCTCCAATCCACCACTCCACTGAAACTACTTTCAAAGGTCAGCATTGACCTCTTTTTTTTAAATAAATTTTTATTCATACTTTAAAAAAAAACCATCTACATTTCCCCACTGTTTCCCTACTCTCCATTCCCTCCCAGAGAGTTAACCCTTATAAAGAATAAAAAAAAGAAAGGGAAGGAAAAAAAACCTTAAGTATCCTACAAAAAGAGTCTGACATTGCATAATGTTCCAGTGAACCCAGTGAACTCTCCTCGCTGGCCCCAAGGTAAACTGATCACTAGAAATTTTATCTTGGGAGAAGAATGACTCAGGTTTGGATACTCTATATGTTCTCAATTCATCCTCTGATTGGAGAACAGAGCACTAAACTCCTCCCATATCCTTCTTTTATAGAGCCAACTTTCCTAGTAACTCCATTCTTCATCAGCTGCCCTGCTTAGCTTCTACTCCAAGGAATCACGTGCCCCACTGGGCCCAATACCCCCTGGTCCTCCCCCTTCTCTGCTTTTCAACTTCCTTTTTGTGTGTTGCCTTCCCTCATTAGATCAACTCCCCAGGGGGCCAAGATTTTTTTTCCTTATTTGTATCCACAGTGCTTAGCACAGTGCCTGACACATAGTAGGTGCTGCTTAATGAATGTTTATTGAATTGAATCATTAGGACAAAGCTTAGTCATTGTAATTTTGTAGCATTCAGTTTTTATTGTACTGTTGTCAACAGTGACTTCTTAATTGCTAAATCCAGTGTCCTTATTTCAGTCCTTAATCACACTGACCTTTTTGTAACTCTTCACAGTATTCCTTCTGAATACTGTTACCCTATCATACCCCCTTTGGCTTCTGTGAGAGTCCTCTCTCCTGGTTCTCCTCCTACCTGACTTCTCTGGTTCCTTGTGGTCCTCTCTGGTTCATTGTGGTCCTGCTATTGCCTAAGTATGGGTGTCTCCCAGGGCTGTGTCCTATACACTCTTCTTTCTATGCTCTCTCATTAGTGATCTCATCCTTTCCTTAGAGCTCTGTTATCAAGTCTAAGCAGATGACTCTCACATATATATCTATATCTATATCTATATACATATATATATATATATATCTTAACCCTAATCCCTTTGAAGAGTTCAAGCCCTGCATCACCAACTGTCTGCTTGACATCTTCACTTGCATATTCTACCAACATCTGAAACCCAACAAAAATGGAATTTCCCCCCTCACATTTGACCCTCATGTTTCCATTAATGGTAATGCCATCCTTCAGCACTCAAAACTCAGAATAATCTTTGAACCATACTTCTACCCTGCCCCCTACATCTAATCAGTTCCCAATTTCTTTCAATTTTACTTCTTTAACATCTCTCCATTTACACTGCCTACTCTGATTCAAGCTCTTGTCACTTTTCATTATGATGATATTATGATAGCTTTTTTGTTTTTAAATTTTTTATTAATTTATTTTGATTTATTGACAGTCACTTCCATAAGCTTTTGAGTTTTAAATTTTTCTCCCCCTCCATCTCCCTCCCTAAGACAGCTTGAACAAAACAGAAAAAAAAGAGCAAATAGTATGCTTTGATCTGCATTCTAACTCTGTAGTTCTTTCTTTGGATGTGGATAGCATTTTCCATCATGAGATCTTTGGAGATGTCTTAGATCCTTGCATTGCTGAGAAGGGCTAAGTCTATCAATGTTAGTCATTGCACATGGCTGTTACTGTGAACAACGTTCTCTTGGTTCTGCTCACTTCACTCAGCATCAGACCATACAAGTCTTTCCAGGTTTTTCTGAAGTCTTCCTATTCATCATTTCTTATAGCATATTAGTATTCTATTACATTCATATACCACAACTTGTTCAGCCATTCCCCAATTAATGGGCATCCTCTCAATTTCCAATTCTTTGCCACCACAAAAAGAGCTGCTATAAATATTTTTGTACATGTGGGTCCTTTTCCCATTTGTATGATCTCTTTGGGATACAGCCCTAGAAGTGCTATTGCTGGGTCAAAGGGTATGCACATTTTTATAGCCCTTTGGGCATAGTTCCAAATTGTTCTCAAATGGTTGGATCATTTCACAACTCCATCAACAATGCATTAGTGTTCCAATTTTCCCACATCTTCCTCAACATTTATCATTTTCCTGTTTTGTCATGTTGGCCAATCTGATAGGTGTGATGTGGTATCTCAGAGTTGTTTTGATTTGCATTTCTCTAATCAATAGTGATTTAGAGCATTTCTTTCATATGACTGTAGATAACTTTAATTTGTTCATCTGAAAACTGCCTGTTCATATCCTTTGACCATTTATCAATTGGGGAATGACTTGTATTCTTATAAATTAGACTTAGAGTTCTCTATATATTTTAGAAATGAGGTTCTTATCAGAGACACTGGTTGTAAAAATTACCAGTTTTCTGTTTCCTCCCTAATCTTGGTTGCATTGGCTTTGTTTGTGCAAAAGCTTTTCAGTTTAATGTAATCAAAATTACCCATTTTGCATTTCATAATGTTCTGTATTTGATAGCTTTTTAACTGTTCTCTTTTCCTCTGGTCTCTCCTCCTTCCTTTCTATCCTTTACATAGCTGCCTCATTATTATTTCTAAGATACAGATCTGATGAAGTCATTTTCCTGCTCAAAAAACTCTACTTACTCTTCTCAAAAATCACTACTTTTAGAATAAAATGCAGGCTCAAAAAGAGTCATAGAATTTCAGAATTGGAAGGGACCTCAGCAGTCACATCCGACCCCAAAGAATCTCTTCTTCTTCAGCCTACCTGAAATGTTCATCCTTTGACCTCCAGTAAGGGGAACCCACAACTAGAGGAAATACATAGGCACCTAAGCATAATACGTAGAATAATTCAAAGCTTTTCACAATCAGACTCCATCCACCTTGTTTTTCCTGTCTTGTTTTGTATTATTTGCAGCACTCCAAACCAAAAGGACACCTCAAAAATCAACACTTCATCTCCTGCTGCTGTGCATTTGAATAAGCCATTTCCTCCTCTCTTGAATATACTCTTCTTTCATCTGTGCCTACCAAAGTCTTTTCTTTCCCTTCCCTTCCCTCAAGGCTTTGCTCAGCTACTATGCCACGAAGTCTTTCCTGATTTCCCCATCTAAAAGGGTTCTCTCCCACCTAATTTTTTCCTAGAATTCTTTTCATCTATGGCATCTTATTTTGACTCATACTTGCTCATACATGTATTCCTCTCTCTCCCCCTGTTAAGCTCTCCCCCCACAGTTTTTTTCCCTCGTATCCCCACACTGATTACTGCCTTCCCAGCCTTGTTTTATACTACTGCCTCCTTCGAGTCTATGTTTCAACCAAACTGGCCTGCAAACTGTTTCCTGGACTTGACATTCTATTTGCCACCTCCATATATTTGTGCAAATTGTTCCCAATGCCTGGAGTAGACTCCTTCATCTCTGCCTCTCAGATGCTTGTCTTTCTTCAAGGCTTCTTTTGGGTACCTGTGAAACCTTTTCTGATCCACCCTAGTCTGTTTTCCTGTACTATACTTATGTATTATATACTGCCCCCCTCCATGAACTCTGTGAGAGGCAGAGACTGTTTCCTGTACATTGTAGAGAATTTAAAAATCTTTGTTGAATTTGAGTTGAAGAATTAGTTGAAGAATTGATTTTTGATTCTATCAAAATGATCAATAAACATTTAGATTGTGATTGGAAAAGAAGGTGGGGCTGGTCATGTTGCAAGAAGGATGACAAATGACTAGCCAGAATGCCATACTACTGGTAACCACAAAATGTAGAAAGATATAGAGCAGGGCTTCTTCACCTTTTTTGGGTCATGGCCAGTCAGGTGA